CTTAAACTGTGCAAGCTTTGTCTGTAATGTTGACAAATACACGATATTTCTGAAGAGGTGTGCCAAATACACAGAGAACAATGAATATTTTCATTATTTGTGAAGTGTGAATAACTTTTATTCATATGTTAATGATACGATTTTTTCCAATTGTCTTAAAATGTCCTGCTTTTCCATTACTATTCTATGTCTACTATTCTAGTCTAATATAGACTATTACTATGTTCACTTTTCCTTTTACTATTCTCTATTCTGTTACTTACTGCGGTTTTCAGTGCAGATGACAAACTTGTTCGCCCTCTCCCCTCCAGTTTTGCTCATGCTGGCTTTGGCTGCCTTCCTTTTCATGCAGCCTCCTCCCTGTGTTCCAGTAGTGGTTCTACATAGTTGCAGAATTCTTCTATTTCACATTAATATATATATATATATTTCCATTACCTGTCAGTTTTTTCTTGTATTTATTGGACTTTTTTATTCGCTACTCTGCTATTTGCACATAAAAAAACTGTGTAGAAAGCACCTGTAAAATGATCCTGGGTCAGAAAGAGGATCTTTCTCACTTGCCTCTAGCACCCAGATATGTGAGCAAAACAAGATCTCCCGCTGAGACAGAATCACTATCTAACAAATTTGTAATAGACTGAGAAAACACAGGGCTGCATTTTTTTCCACAGATTGTTTAGATAAAAAAGTTTTAGGTCTCTGTAGCTAGGATGGAATACAAATGCTTAAGAAGACTTTAATGAGGGCTATTCATGTATTTTTAATATACATAGTGCAATAACTTCTTTCCATGCCTTCTGTCTCTTTCCATGTGCTTTTCTATGCTAGTTAGTAACTAAATAATTTTAACAAAATATGTTATTCTGCATTAGTGAGCTGAAATATCATGGTCCTAGTCACAAATAATACCAGAACTAAAACTCACAGTAGTAGTGGCTGGGGAAAGGGGTAAACCTGTATGCTAAACAGGTGAACACTTTGCTGCTGTAGTGATTTTTCTTTATATATATTCATCTTTATAATGCCAAAAATGTCTGTGTTTTGACAAGTTACTGAATTTATTATTAATTTTCGATGCTTGATATGTCAAAAGGAAATTTACTTGATCAGATTCTGATTTTGGCTGGAACCCTTCAAAGCAAGATGATTGTTGTGCCAGCCAGCAGAATAAAATGAAGCCTTACTCTGCTGATGAAAACGTTCTACATTGTTCAGCCAAAAGGTGAATAAAGCCTAAGTAGAAAAATAAATGCTGATGCAGCATTCATGGATAGGCCCATGAAAGCTTCTCTCCACTGAGAACTACAGGTAAAGCTAAATTAAAAAAAATGCTAGCCAGCTTGACACCAAATCCTTACTTTAGAGTTACCGAAATGGAAACGCAGGGCAGAAACGCACGGCAATGTTTTCTGGCTGCTCTAGGTGTCACTGTCCCCTCGCCGGAGCGCGGGGCTGCGGGGCCCAGGGCCCACGCACGGGCTGCACAAATCACGGTAACATTCGGGTCGCGCCGGTTCTAACGGAGCTCACGGGGCCTCCCGGGCTGTGGCAGCTGGGGAAGTGAACTGTGAGGTTTGCTCCAGCTGTGGTTAGTTGGAAATCAGGTAGCATGATTTTTTTGTATTCTTTATTATCAAATCCATGACAATACTTGGTCTGACAGACCAGATATCTTTTACCTCCGCTGTTCAAAATGTACCACTTTTCTGCACTTCTGAAGCTACCACGGATCCAGAAATAAGACACAGGAATAAGCCTTATTTACAAGTGCATTAATCAAGGCACAAGCCTTGATATGTGACTATGTCACACAGAAATAATTTTGAGCGTTATACACATTTGATGATGAAAATGTTGCATAATCTGCCAAGGAAACTGTTCCTTAATTGCTGAATAAGAGCCTTTTCAGAAAGATTAATAGCAAAAAATGTACATGGACTTGTGATGATGAAAATGTTGCATAATCTGCCGAGGAAACTGTTCCTTACATAAATTGCTGAATAAGAGCCTTTCCAGAAAGATTAATAGCAAAAAATATACACGGACTTAGCTCTAATATTCAGAAGCAAAATACACTGTTAGAGGCTGAGCAAACTCCCAGAATCATTTTGATGATAGACAGTTGTTGGATAACAATTCTTCTGTCTCTGTACCAGGCAATAATATTCTTATTAAAAACTGAAAGGTTGGGAAGGTCTGATGCTGACTTGGTGCTTTGTAGATACACAGCTCTGCCATATTTTTGCTTTTAGATGTGCTCCCCAGAGCAGTATTCAACGTACTGAGAGGGGAGAGCTACAGGCATCATGAGGCTTTTCTGCCTCATCCTCCAGAGACGCTGTCACAAATTTCCCACCTGATGGCTAGGCACAGCAGCTGGATCACTGGTGTGGCCCATGGTTCTGTGATTTCTCTTCAAAAAGATATAATCTTCTCAGTCTGGATCATAATAGCAATTTTATTTTATGACTAGGGATCACACTTAAGGAATAGAGGATTCAAATATCTAGAAAATAACTTTCAGGAACAAGTGTCAAGTCACCAGGTCAAAGAAATCACAATGATGAACTTGGCAAGAAATCTCTATCCAAGTAGCATGCCCCAGGTGCTCCCTTCCCTGAGCAGAGAACAAAATCAGGGTAGCAAATGCTACTGAATGGGGTATACCCAAGCTACAGCTATGGTCAGAAGGGGACTTACAGGTTTTTTCCCACTCTATGTCAGCAGAAAGAGGACTGTGGGCAGTTTGTTTTATTGTGGGCTGCTAGCAGCATGCACATACGTGCTATAGAGTCCACTGCTTCCATACCTAAAGCTATCTAGGACAAAGTTCTCGTTGGGCAAGAAAGTGGAATGAGATTTCAAACTGTCCACACGGCTGGGCATCAGACGAGGTCTGAGATAAAATATGTTGCTGTATCAGTTACATTTTTTTGCTTCCAATGTTTTTGTGTTTCAAAATGTGTGTAAAAATGCAGTAAATAAATAATAATAAAAATATATACTAGCTGATTGCTTCAGAGGAAGAGAAGAAAGTCGATTATCTAAAATTCTTTTCCTCACATTCCCTGACCTTCAGATCATGATGCTCAAAATAAACATAAAATACCATTTCTTAGAAATGAACTTGAGAAGTATAGCTGTGGTAAAGGAAAAAAAAAGGTAGAAAAGGGTGTTATCACAAGAGCTTTCATTTTTTCACAATCAGCTATTTGTGTTCTTTTACAGTAGAAACCAAAGTGCTTGGTTGCTTTAACTTCCTTTTAGTAATAAGCTGAAATGTCTGGCTTGTTTGATCAAACATTAGGTTTTGCTTCCTCTCTGTATTTCAGGTCTCCATTTTGACATATCTGACTCAGAACATCTTTCAAAGGGATGAAAACTGCTTTAGAAGAACTAAAGGCCAAGCTCCTATTTGTGGTGGTGAAAATTAAGATCCTAGATCAGTAAATTTTACTTTTTTGTTGTTTCAGAAGTGCAAATAGTTATTTGCTGGTTCTTACCTACCAATTACCTCACTAAATTTCGTCATCTTGGTCCCTCTTAACTATTATGCATGTTATGTATACCAGGTATTATAAACTGTACATAATATCTGTATTTACATGCTGTATTTTTAGGAACTTGGGGAGTGAGATCAACTATGAAAGTGTATTTACTTGCCTCCTCCATTCCTTATTTTTGTAGCTGCAGCGGTATCACTACATGTTTTATGACAGATCTGCCTTTCAGCATCTTTTACTTGTGGAAGTTTTGAACCCTGTCTCTTAGCTCTGTCTGTGCCTCTTAAAGCCATTGACAAAATCTCTGTCTTTGAAATCCCATTGTTGAAGCTGAATCAGATCTACTGCTAAACTCTGAAAATCCTCAAAGAGAACGTTCCGCTTGGTCTCCTTTTCATTCTGGTTTTCCCTTCATATTTGCATCGCGCCTGTTCTTTCACTTATCTTCTGTGCAGGGGTAGAAGAGTTCAGTTACACTGCTGCATGCTATGTTAGTTATTCAGAGCACTGATGCTTTATGAAAGCTGCCTGTGGCCATCAGGCAAGAAATTATATAGGTTTCTAACAGAGGAGAGACAGATGTCAGTGTGCATTCTCCTGTGGGAAGAATAACTAGTTTTATAAAGGGAACACTGGCCCAGTTATCTAAAGGTAGAATGAGTGATTTTTGGCAATATTTGGTGCCTAAGTATTTCTGAGGAGCTGAGCACAAGTATCGGTTTCTTTACTAATCACTTCTTTCTCCTTATTGCTAAATCTGTAGACTGTGGACTGTTCTACTCCCCTCCCATCATGCACTTAGGAAGGAAAATTATCTGAAGATGAAAATGGAAACACTGTACAAGGATGGCAAATGCTTTCAATTTATGTAAATCTTGCTCCTTTCTATGTTTCCCAAGGATTGGAATGTCTGATCTAGGAAAATCTGGGAATGACAAGATATTTCCAAACTGTGGGTAGTTGTACAATTGGAACTACCCACACTGGTCCTTTCCATTTTACTTTTTTTTTTTTTTTTTTCCTTTTGCAAGGTGGACAGAACTATTCATTATCCCATCTCCATGCCTCTGCGAAGCTGCTTGAACAGGAGAGAGGGAAAAGGCTTGTCAGGCTGACAAGCATTAGGGGCTCCCTGGCAGTGTGGAACAACTGCGCTGGAGAAATGTAATCAGCCTTTGTGTCCCCCCATCTGTATTTTCAGGGCAAAAAAGAGACAGAAATCAATGAAACTAAAAAATAAAATATTTGGGTAATTGCTGGAAAGGAAAATAAGCAAATTAGCAACAAGAATTCCAGTTATTCTGAACTCAAATCCCTGGATCTTTGTTCATATGAAAATGAGGAAATACCAATAAGATAAACAGACCGAAATACCAATTCTCATGTATTTGGAGGGCCAGATCTGTTCATTGACAGAAAAGACACATGTCAAATCATGCAGCACAAAGATAGCATAGCAGAATAAATCCTCAGCATGCTGGGACACCATCCTACCTTTCCTGGAGCCCTACAGGTTTCATTCTGAAAGGAGATGGACTGGCAGGCAGAGGAGGTTTGAGCTCAGGAACACATTGGCCTTGAGGGTCGACTACAACATTTACAACTTTTGGAGCCTGTTCAGGCTGGACCATGCTGTTGGTGGTCTTGTACTCGGACTGAGATGTCTGGAGGGGAAGGGGTGAGAGATGGATCTCCTGCTTCTTTTCCTTCTCTTGTCTCAGGGATAACTGGATCTTCTCCTTTAGTCTGTACAAAACCTACAGAAACAGAGATGAAAAGTCCACTCATTTTAAACCCAATTTCCTTGTAAACAAGGTAAGGAAAGCATCACAAATGCTAGGCGAGATTGTGATACATGGCTTTCATTTCTAGAAGGTAATCCACAAGTTTTGTTACATGGTGTTTCCTACAGCAGGATAAATATTTCCATTATAAAATCACAGTGCGTATATGTGGGTGGTAGGGATTTTAATAGTTCTCATTGTGAGCCACGAATTATTTGCAATACCAGCAGCTGTATTATTAAAGAGATAAAAAACAGAGAATGGAAGATAATAATCACAAAAATCACCGTGAAGAAAGGAATCTTGATAAATAAAATAATTATAGAAAAAAATCAAAATTTTAACCTACAAGACAATGGCACAATATCATGTAGATGCTTATGATATAGCTCTCTCTAATGATAAGAGCTTCAATTTATTTTATTGTATATATTCTTAAAACATTAGTAATTTCTTATGGAGCTAATACTTAAACAGAATAACTTTACTAGGTCATTTCTGTAATGGTAGCCTGCTACTACTATGAAATATCCCTAAAGTTTTTTTTTACAAAACAACTCATAACTTCCTTAAATAAACAAACATTGCTCCATAATAAAGCTGAACTGATGCATAGCCTGTGTAGCTATTTAAGGATCTGTGGCCATTGAAAAAAGAGTCTGTTTTACTGAACAAACACTGATATCTAAAAACATGATTATATCAGGATTCTCAGTCCAACTATCATGTATGAACTTGCATGTCAGATTATCTGCAGCAAGGCCTCTCGAAGCCCTGCAGACAGGTCCTACCATGAACCCTGCTGCTGCCTTGGTGGCCGTCACCCTCCCAGCACTGTGCGGATGAACTTCATACCTCTCCAGTGAAGCCTGGATGTGTCTGATGTATTTGTTTTGTCAAGGATTAGTACTAGAGGTTTAGCTGGGAATTGACATAATGTCATTAGCAGTACACCCATTAAACAAGATTTAGCTGCATAAACCATCTGTTCATTCAGAAGAATTCTGAATTAAATTGTAGGGATAAGATAAGCTGCTCTTGGCCATTACATTACAGAAAACCAAACAGGTATCAGTAAACATAAAACAGGGCCTGGCCCAAATATTTTAACCCTCTTTTCTCCCCAGTGACAGGTTTGGTCTCATTTGTTTCTGGTAACCCACAGATACAGAGCTCAGACATTCACAGCTATGATAATGTCCACCATACCTTTCTGTGACTGGTATTTTTGGGCATAGTTTCTTCCCTTGGAGACCCAGGAGGTTATGCTTTTATGTTCCAAAAATTGGGACTAGCATGATTTCCTATCCTTTTTATCCTCTACTATTAGAGTCTAGAAAAAAAGAGAGCCAGCAACTAGTGGAAATAGAAAAGAGTTAAAGAAGCACATTTGATTTAAGAGCTAACAACGTTTCCTCAGAGAGCCTGGGGCAGTCCATTTTTTTAATGAATTAAAGAAAAACAAACAGGAAATGGCCAAAAACACAGTGGACAAGCCAGGATACAACTGACATTAACTAGCCATTAAGAAGTCATATTTCTAATTATTTCTGTTCATCTTCAGAGGAAAACAATGACTCCACTAAGGTCTCTGGGATGAAGAGATCTTGAAACAGTCACATGGAGCAGCTGTGCTAGGGAACTTCTCTGCCTCACAATGTTTAGAGCACCTGAGACCATATAAGAAAATCTCGCAGAAACTAAAGGAAAAAAAATACTGTTCATAATAATAAAGAGTTCTCGCTTGGCAAGCACTTTTTGACATGTGTCTGTGTGCTTGTCTCTGTATGAGCAGCGCTGTTGTGTGTATGTTCATGCGCATGAGAAGAAAACCAACCAGCAAAATTTCCCTCAAACCCTGGGGAAAGGATGAAAGAACAAAAATGTGACAGATGTTAGTCATGTTGTTTAACGCGTTACTGGGAGGCATTTGGATACCCTGATGCTGCATGCTCTATAAAAAGTTCTGCAGAAGCAGAACAGAAGAATTCAGACAATGTAGGACTAGTTTATATATAAAAACTGCATTCTGATGTTAACTCTTACTTCTTCTTATTTCAGTTCAAATAACTTAAAAACTCTCCCACAATGATTAAGTGATTAGATTATATATCTTTGATTTTGCATTAATTCTTTAAGTAGGTAAAAGTTGAAGTTGGTGGGCTGCTATCAGTTGCACATATTCTATAGTCAAAAGGCTTTCAGAAATCCATTTTATGAATCATGAAAACCTGTAAATTTACAAGCAATGATAGGTCATGTGAGAAACAGTAGGCTGAAATGCTTTTTTTATATTCAATATTCTTCTTACTAAAGGAATTCTGAAATACATTATACTGATGTAATTATAAAACATTAGAGCCATTAATAAAACAATGCATCTCTCACAATTTGTTGACTAAAATAGCTCACACTTTTCATTTTAAATGAATAAAAACTATTTTTTGAAAATTAAAATTTTCAATGGGCAAAATTTAGACATCTAAAACATTTAGAGAAGCCTATCATTACAACCACCTACAGATATTTTATAATATGTAACAGATAATTCCAGGCTACTCACAAGGTACTTATGCATCCATGAATATGTACAACATGACATGAAAACATATCAAAACAGGCTAAATTAATGAGAAATATAAATAGTAAATAATTTAATGCACTATCAAATAATTTAATCCACTATCAAATATAGCTTTATGTATTAAACTTGCAACTCCATCTCTATAAAACGAAAAAGTACAGAGACCTATGCTTCACACAGGAGCATTTAAAAATAATTAATCTTAATTAGCACCTTGCTTGGCATATGTTATAAATGACGTACGATGTTCCCAGTGGAAGCGAGTGCCTGGTCAGGAGCGCTGACAGGGACAGCAACGGGCTGCCTGGTGACCTCTACTTACGATGAATCCCCCCTGGGATGCACAAGGCTCATATATGCTGACAGCAAAGACTAGATGAGTAAATACGTCGCACAAGCCCAGAGGTGCAATTTATAGGTCTGAATTTACCTCATGGCTGCTCTAACTCAAGTCACAACAATACCCTGCACTGTAGATTTTTTATGTAATAGAGGCCAGGTATTTGCTTTCTCAGTACTGTTACTAGTTATTAAATTCCAGCCAAACATTAAGAAAGCTACTGGCTGTTAAGGCAGTGTCCTCTCAGTTTAAAAACTGTGCAGGGAACCATCATGATTTTTAAAATCCAGTTAAAAGAAAAGGCTGCATATTTTACAATTTCTGTAGTAATTTCACAAAACAAAACATTAACACTGACAATTCAACTGCCTGACACTAACCACTGTTGATCACCAATATATTAATTACTTTCTATTTCTTAATGTAATGGACACTAGCTTTTTATCTAGAAACACAGGTTAATCGTTCTGCTATTGGAACCTGAATTAGTTCTCATATGGTCACTAAAGGCAGAGCTGCTTCAGTTCAGGTCGAATGCTTTGCCCTAAAATGTTAACGATCTGACAGACTGTGATGGTTGAACTCTAAACCCTGAATTCCTATTTTCCACAAAACAGCCATTCTGGCACATGTAAAGTGAGACTAAAAACAATGTGAATGGTTTGTTAGCCTTATAGATTGCACATACTCCATGTATCAGCAGATCCAACAAAATCTGAGACAGTTTCGTTTTGTATGGTCCAAACTTCTTGGTAGTACATCTAGGAAAGGGTATACTGGACCAGTGAGGGGACAGAAAAATGGATGCCTGCAGAAAAGACCACAGCATATGTATCTGTAATGGGGGTTCAAGAGGTCTGCTAGTCTTTCCTTCCGTGTGAGCTCTGGAAACAGCTGTACCCAAACTATTCCTGACAGACGCCCATCTAAAACCTCAGCTGATGAACACTCAAGAGCTGCCCCGGGCAACGCACTCCAGCGCGCAGTGACTCGATTTGACTGAATCTCCCTTTCAGCTGCACTATTCCCAGCGGACAAAGCATTGCCTTCCTCCCTATCACAGCCTTGGAAAACTTTCCATAGTTCAGAATATGTTTCTCCTTGGTCTTCTTTCCTCTACAATAAACAAACAAAATTATTTTGTTTCTTCTGTATCTCTGATCATTCTTCCACTTCTCCTCCTTGCTGGCTCGCATCATTTCAGAAGTGTGGTGTCCAAAAACAACTACATATCAAGATGTAATACTATAACCACATTATTACCAGAGCCAGGTGAAATGGACTTATCCTATCCTCGCTCACACATCCCAGGACAAGGACTCTCATTTTGGCAACAACATGGTGTTACTGATTTACCCAACTGTGTGCTTTGCTGTACTGCAAGGCCTTTCCCATGGAACCATTGCTTTGCCACGTATTTCCTACACTACATTTGTGCATCTGATTAGAGTTCTTGTCCCTACTGAGCAGCATTTGCTTTCCTTCCAACTTTCTCTACTATATTAAGACAATTTAAAATTCTGATCCTGTTCTCTGCAAGATTTAAAGCTCCCAGTACCATCACATTCCAAGAAATCCATGAAAGTATTGTGTAGCACCAGGATGAGGTGAGACACTGCTTTCTATGTTTCAGTTTAACAGTCAGTAATAACTTGTGTTCTGTAATGCTGAAGCAAAAAGTTTTACTTTCAGAGTTGCTCTGCTATCTTTCAATGAGATGGTGCAGAGAAATGGAATTGAGTAGGAGGTAGAAGTTATAGAAAAGAACAATTTACGTGAGAAAATAAACCCTTTTAAAATCATAAGGAGACTTTATGAGCTTAAACAAGACTTTGTTATAATTGTGATTATTTTAAAAAATCTTCAATTTAAATACTCTTTTTAGGATTGTAAGTGGGAAAATCCTCTCAGTTACAGAAAAATAAACATTTTTGAAAGCAAATATCTTAAAAGATCCCAAGAGACTGTGAGTCCAGAAGTGCTGAGAATTGTCACAGAATTCCGCAAACTCTTAAATTTATGCACCACAGCAGAAAAATACAGTTCAGAGAAGGTTGTATTTGAGATACAACATAAAGAAAATGCAAAATGTAAGTCAGTGGTGGTAGAGGCTTATTCAAGCCCTTTGTGTCCTTGTACAGTTCACTTTCAGAGCATTATACGTACAACTAATGCCCAGAAAACTGGACGCTGAAGTCACACAACATGAATGTCAATGAATGTCATGGTCACTCTGCGACTTATTACTCACTTCAGTTTAAAATTCATATTTTCAATATATGAATACTGACTTTCTGTCTCTCTCTTCCTCTCTCTTCCTCTCTCTCTCTCAAAATATATAACCACTGTGCATTGACAACATTGTGGCATTGTTTTTATTATCCCATAAAACTGAAGTACTGTAGGCTGAAGTGATTTCAGGGATCCTGGGACCTTAATAAAAGCTTGAGAAGTCATAAGTCAAGTCACTACAGAGTTATTTTGCAGAGCTAAGTGTCCATTATTTATTTCTTCAGCTTCCTACTAGTTACCTTTTTCTATTAGACTCAAAATGGCAAAAAGCAGTATATTTCTATTAGTCATCAAGCTTTGGATTCACAGCACCGAGTAACAATTGTTACCTTCTAGCTGAACTTCTGACAGCTTTGTGAAAATACTTTTCTTATAAAGAATGCATGACTCTATCCTTCAGACAGAGAAAAGCACTAAGCAAAGAACAACAAAAAAGGTAAAAAGCATACTTACCATTAAGCAAGTTACAAGAATGACAAAGATGCTGAGAAATATGACAACTGCATAAAATCCTTCTTTGCTCCAGATTTTGTCTGCTTCACGCTGGCCTTGCAAAACATTTTTCTTTATTAAGCAACAACAAAGGAAAGAAAGAAAGAAAAAAAGTTACACAGTAGCGTGTGCAGATTAAACAGCTCTTGCCAGGCATTAATGATCTTCCTTAGCTTTGTTGCAGTTCACATTCCAAAGTATACAACATTTCTTTTGAATGCCGCCATTCTCACACCTACCTTAGCTAATAAGCATGCTGACTGCACCGCTCCTAACACTAGGAAAGATGATCTAAGATCTTCCTAGTGACTGCTGAAATGATCTTCCTCCACAAGCAATGGACTGGTTTAAGGTAAGCAAACAAGACTCATGTTCTTTCTTGGAAACTACCTGGCTCATCAGGTAATAGGGCATTGCTCTTGCGTGGGCTGAGGAAACTGCTCACACTGTCTTTTTCTCTGCGCTGCTTATCTCCTGCCCCACCACCCACACGTAGCCTCTGAACTGTTTACACTTCACTCAGATGTGAGAACAGGTGATTTGCCAGTTGCCTTCATAAGTCAAGAAGGTCTGGCCCTGTAACCTTTAGAATATGTACATCAATACACGTATGTAGATAAAAAAAGTTTTGATTTGCTGAAAATAATCTTATTATTCATATATCTGCAATTCTGAACATGCTTTGTCTTCTTTGGGTTCCTGTTGATACTATGTTTCCAAAGAGCTCTGCACACTAAAATTTGCAGAATTCTTGGGGAATATTAAATAACAGTAATTTAAAAAGTATTTATTTTTGGCCTTATTGCAGCATGAAGACTTGTTTGAGCTATTAAATTACAAGAATTTCACTATGTTTCCAAATAGAAATATGGTAGCAGGAACAAAGTAGATGTATTCTCATTCTAACTGCTCTCTACTTTTTAGGATAAAATGTATATTCTTGCAAATCAAGGATTTCCCCTTTGTGGATTTCAAAGACAGAAATGCAGTCTTTTTTTAATTGTGCATTTCTAATACAGTTGTCAGACTGAGCAAAGCAACTTTCTTAAATTCCAGTTTTTACTGTAAATGTTCAAGGTCTCAGTGCTTCCCCTTCATAGGGAATTTCCTAGGGAATTGAAGCTTAAGAGTTTCAATTAAACTTATAGTTTAATTAATTGAGTTGTCTTCTCTAGGAACTGATCTCAGGTCAGCAATCGTGAATTAGGAATGTGCTCTTTTTTCTTCTCCGAGGACACTCCATATGAGCCGTTGGAGTCACTCATTCTCCATGGAGGAATGAGTCTCTCCACTCGAAGTTAAAAGTAGCTCACTGTAGCTGGGTCACTACAGAGATGCTCCAGTACTTAGCTGTATTTAACACGTATGGTTCCTACTCAGAAGACTGCGCTTTGCCACCAATTAACTTGCTCTTTTGAGCAGTCAGCGTATCAAGAAAATTCCTTGTGTCCACGAACACCCCAAACATAGCTGATAAAATAGAATCTGTGTGTTAAGGACTTTTGAGGAAGGAGCATGGCTTGGGAAACGGAGTAAAGGCTGACAAAAACCCACTGCATGCTGTATCCTACTTCAGCACAGGCTTACTCTGTGCTTGCTTTAAAAAGGGACAGTACAATGTTGATTATATTTTGTGCAGTTTACAGATCACACTGCCACAAAATACAAACACACAGAGAAGTACTTGATAGCATGGTTAATTTATAAACTTCCTTGCTAACATACATATAACTAAAAGTTGGCTGCACTAGAACCAAAAGCATCTATAAATAAGAGTGTTTTGGAAGTCACAGTGCCAGAGACCAGAATGGAAATGCTTTACTCTCTGCTGCTAAACCACAGAAACTGACCTTGTAAAATTAGTGTGAATATTTGAGCGCACAGTGTTCACAATCTGGGCATAAAATCACTTTAAGTATCCATAGCTTGACAAGGATTATGAAGTCTCCTGAATAGTGAGCAACTTTAAAAAAAGAGCTTTTAGTTACGGAAATCTTGCCAACATTTCTGCAGAAATTCTTCCTAGACAGCCTCAAACAGTGAGGCCACTATAATGTGCTGTACTTTTCTGAGCAACTCGCTCCCTCGGCACAGCGAGGTCATTCTCTTGTGTTCACAGCCAAGGACTCGGGTCCTAACGCCGCCATAGAGCCCAGCATTGGCAGCTGCTGGGCACTCAGGGCTCTTGCTGAACTTCAGGGGAGCAGCAATTGCAGCCCTGGCCCATTAGCTCTAAGATAACTGTTTGGCCATGGGTAGGTTACCCATGGTGATGGCTCTCCAGTGTTTCAGATCTCTTAGGAGAAAATCTGGATAAAAAACAAGAGTTGAAGGAGATTTGGCTGTGCTGACTTTTTGTAACCGAGTATTTTTTTCCTTTAAAATACTTCACTGAAAGAACAAACACACTAGAAAGTAAATGAAGAGCTAATAGGACTTTTTACACAATGACTGACTGTTAATTAACTGCACTTCATTAATGTAATAAAACTTGATATTTTACACAGAGCGATATGCTTTATGCACACAATTGAGCCTAAAAGAGATAATCTCTGTGATATACTTGCGTTGAGGACATATTTTCCCTAATTTGTCATTCTAAAAATCATTTTCAATGAATATTAACCAGCAATGTAGAAAAAAATAAAAAATGTGTATCTAATATATCTGACACACCATTCTGAAACACTGAAGTGGCACCTTTACTTAACTAATGAAATCTCTCCCCTGGGTCTAACTGAATAGCATTCAGCATAGCAAAATGCTTGCTTAGACTGCTCTCTAATGATTGAAGGGTCTGTGACCTGCAGCGGTTGAGTCACTTCATTTCCATGATAAGAAATTGCTATTTGAAATGTTACTGCTACTAATTCAGAACTTTGTCCCTAGGTCTGAGAGTCTTGATAAGAGGGATATGCTATGCTCATTCAAACTGCTAACACCCTAGAAACATAAGCAGGACAGCCCAAACGGTGAGGAAAAAGCAAGGGGGAGAGGGAGCTTCTGCCCAGCGATGGGCTCCAAGCCTCCAGCATGGAAATGTGTTCTGTTTAGATTGGTTCATGTTACTTCTCACTCAGATGGGAAACTTTTATTGCCTGAGAATCAAGTAAGGCTTACAGATAGTTTTGGAGGAGCGGGAATGTGCCACAGCAATCAGAGAGCAGGCAAACAAACTAACGCTAAACAAAAAGCCGCAGCTGGTGATGGCAGGAGGGAATATGGCAGCGGGAGCGCTGACCAGCGCAGGGAGCTCCAGCAGTTTCAGCCTTCAGGAGGAAGGCTCACCACTGCCATATGTCAATCCCCCAGTGTCTGAGTCCATCCTCTAAGAAGTCTCCACAATCAGATGAATCATTTAGACAGAATTATTTAGAGAGTTTGAAATCAGTGTTTAAGACGCGGAAGAATCAATGCATTCTAAATAGTCATTTGCTATTTCTGATCTCATTTAAGACTGTCTACACCAGTGTCTGCTTTGCTAAACTAAACTGGAAAAAATGCGTGTAGAAAAATGATTTTAATAAACTTTTTTTCTTTAAAAAAAAGACATTAATGACACACTCTGGGCCTTCTGGTCTTATTATGCAAACCTAGTGGACTATTTCTACATGTAAGTAAAATGAGCAGCCAGCTCTTGATAATAAAAAGGGAGACCTTGACCTGAAGCAGTCTGTGTAAAACCTGAGACTGAAAGATGCTGCCAAGATATGAGGAGCTGCCAGGAAGGGTAAGTGTTCACTGGAAGAAAGGTGAGTTCCTAAATTGGGTTAGTTAACCCCAATTAGTTCCTCAGGCTGAAACGATAATGAAAGCAAGGCAATTTATGAGCACAGATGAAAGCTCACAGAGAGCTGGGAACTGAACTTGCTCCTATAGGGTTATTCAAGTTCATACTGGATTGTTTTGTCTGTTCTGCTATTTTAACTATGTTAGGTAAGGCATGTTAGGAAAGCTCTCCAAATGAACTCATTTCCCCCATCAGTGAAAACATGCAGAAGAACCAGTGACCTCTCAGGTTTCTACGACACTGGGGGAAAAGCCACTTACTGTCTCCCATGTCAAAGCCTCCTCCAAGACTATTTCCGAAGTCACTTTGTTTCACAGCACTTCTTTCCATACCAGTATTCAGCCTTAGCCTGTGTGTGCGATAAAGCGCTGTGACTTCATGTTTTACTGGAAGTTGCAAGGCCTGCAGGGGAGCCAGGCCCCTCTTCATGGGGCCAACCAACTTGGGCAGGCCGTGAGCCGGGCGCTAACCGCTGCCGCCGTGCTCCGCTCTCACCCGTGCGGGTGTGGGGCTCCCTTGGCGTTTGCGATCACAGAAACACATCCTGGTTCTCTGCTTTGCTCCCGGTTGCCTTTTTCTAGGCTGTTGTGATTTCTAAGCTATGGGTTTTGATCACTAATCCTCACACTGACTTAACGTTCTGTAGGCCTGAAGTGAACGATTAGTTCCTTTGATTCTTTGTCTGACAGAAGTTAGTATCTCGTGCTTCAAAGCCACACAGTAGAAGCTTTGTGTAAGGAGGGTATAATTGTAAATGTTGGGATTGCATAATGTGGAATAAACTATCAAATGGGAAATTCTCCCTTGCACCACATCTTCCAGCTAGCACTTAGCTTACTTCACAAAAGATAGTAACCCCTTATTTTACTTATGATAACTTCAGGTATTTTTGTTATCCAAAACCACTTCAAGTCTGGATCTACTCTGCTAAGCTCTAAAACCACTGGTATTTTCTTGTTTTTTTTTTTTCTTTCTCTGAGAACTGTTTTAAGACTTTAGGAAGTCAAATTTACCACAGTAAAATGGATTTCCTTGGTCACTGAATTTAATACCATATATGAACAAGCAATAGCTTTTCAGTAGCTTTTTATTCTAAGAATGTTAACACTGCCACACACCACAGATCAGAATATAATCCTGAATTCCACTTTAGACACAGTGTTAAGATCATAAAAAAAAGCAGATGCTACAACAACAACAGGACATTGTAAAGGAATGGACATATGGAAGACATTGCCATTGCCCTGCATCTCTGAAATGGAGAGACTCCATTAATTTAAACTTCTGCATTACCACCCCTACACATCCCATTGTACAGCAGGCGGCAAAGAACTCTAGTGCTCCTTACAGCAAAGGCATATAGGAAATCTGCTCTCCCAGCTACTGCATAATAAGAAACTAGGATATACATTTTGAGACAGAAAATTTAACTGAACCAACAGATGTAAATTGGCAAATTATTACTGAAATAAATGGAAATATATTTCTCTTCACCTACACCCACTGAGATTTTTGCTATTTATGATAATACCATGCGCCGAAACTTCAAGGAGAGAGCTTTGGTCTTCCACTCAGGTTTTCCTATAAAACCTTGGGAAAAATTCTTAAGATAGGCACAATCTCACAATTAATCCTCTACAACTGAGTGTCTAGCTTAAGTTAAATCCCACGAGAAAGAGTAAACCAAGCAATCTCAGAAGAGGTATCTGAGAGATTGAATGGACTGCCCACTGAAGGTGTCTCTTTCCCCCGGTTTACAGCACAGAGAGACAGTCGACATATTTTTTAGGTAGATATAATATATATATATATACACACTATATTTACAAACATACACTATATATACATTTGATATAAACAGCTAAAATATGAGATGAACTCCTAACACCTCTGTCAGTCACTCACCTATGAAGACAAGGATAATAATTTCTTTCTGCACAGACAGAGTGTTGGCATATGCACAATCCTGACTGTGAGGCTTTTGGCCATTGTGGTGGAAGGCTGCACAGATCTATTAGCTAAGGAATTAATTAGAATTAGTAGCTAAGGAACGCACAAAACTGGTAAAGTTACATGTCAAAGCTATGCCTTTCTGCAGCTGTAATTATTCCTCTTTTCAAAGGTTTGCATCTTGATGTTTGCCATTACTTTGTTCAGCAGTTTCTTTGGGCAAGCTGGGTGAAGAGTAAATAATTGGTAGTAAGTAAAGGTTATGTGTTGCTGTTTACTATGCAAGCTTACTCAGACAAATAATTTATTAGGGTCCAAAGAGAAGACATTGCATAATTTTTGCAGAATCAGGTCTTAGCTGTATAAACTGCTAGCAGCCAATACTAACTCAGCGATGGCTTGAACATAGGTTTTCATCTAAAAAAGCATTCCTCCTGCCTGTAAGAGGAATCACAACTTATTATAACCTGTCTTTATTTTCCTCAACTTTTATTTTTGACAAATAAACATATCTTCTGTAAAATGGGAGCTTCCATGAAAAACACTCATTCTTGATGATATTTGAAATTACTCTGATTGCACACCGAATCTGAAGGACTTAATATGCAGCTAAGGGCTCCTAATGTGCCAAATAAAATGCACTGTAATGTGTCTAGATTTGCCATGTACATGAGCTCTGTTACTTCATTTCCTAAAGGAAAGCTTATTTTGTTATGCCTAAGTCAGTCCAGAATTAAATGTACACCTCACTGTCAATGTCTGGAACACTGTGGAGAGAGCAGTTCAGTTTCTGCTTTGAAACAGATTTGCTTTCAAAAGAGAAGTGGTCATACGAATAACATTTCTAGTTTTACTTATGCTTTACTTATGTTTTTTGGGGTAGGTATACAAAAGAAAACCAAAATTTCTCACTTCTCTTGACACCTGAAAGAAGCATGGATAAAATGTACAAATTCAATTTTCTGAAATTGTTATCAGATCTGTTACCCAGGTAACTAGGTAGAGATGCTCACTCTCAAAGTCTTCATTCTGTTTTTCTCTTTACTAAAGCTGTTTTACCTGTCAGCCCACGCAAAAAACAAAAAGACCAAAAGTTGTTGGGCCCATGCACCCTTTTAGGCAACTCGTGCACGCTTATGATTAAAACCCCGCTTTCAGTGGAAGCTGAGCTGTGTGAAAGGACCTGGATCTTAAAGTTTAAACAGCCTAATGAAGCATTATTAATGTAATTTAACAAGATTAGTAGTATAATTGCCTTATAGCAGTAATGCTATCTTCTTAGCTTATACATTTCCCTCCACATTCTTGGGAACCTTAGCCTGAGAACTACCACATCTATAAGAACTGCCAGTCTGTAACAAACTACAGGTTAGAAAAGTGGTAACCTACCTCAGGGGAGACCTCCGTTATTCCAAACTGTGATAAACTCTGGTGCAAAATGTTGATGTTCAGTGAACGCAGCACTTCTTCAGATGGGAGTGCATCAGAAATACCTGGCTTTCTGTTCACTGGGGACACAAACAGTTCCACACAGTTCTTCTTCCCCTAGAAAAATAAAATATTACAGAATCACAAGATGGGTTTTAAACTAGATAATCTGTGCTATTTATAGACTATAACCATATTTCCAGGAATTAGAGCAAGAAATAAATAGAAAGGCTGCAACTTTCTCTGTGAAGACAGCATATCTTATTCCCTGTTTTTTTTTAATTCTAGATGACCATGAAAGAAAAAGCAAATACCACAGGTGTACACATATACTTTGTCTCATTCACTGTTAACAGTATTCCCTCTTCCCAGTGTAGTACCATTAACAAGATAGATAGCAGTAACATTGTGAAGGGAGCCCACAGGATGATCCAGGAGGGATTTTAACAGATAGTTCTTCTGATCTAAGCTGAAGCACAACCCTTTTTTAGACACTTGTGCTTAAACAGGAATGCTTAGTATAATGCTATTTAGAAAGAACTGCTTTCTAATCCTCTGTCAACACACTGCAGATACCCAATACCACAAAGTATAATGCCTTTTTAGTGCTCTGCAGGGTAACTGCTTAAGACGGCACAATGAAATGAAAGGACCAGAAAAGTTTTGTTTATTTTTGGTGAGTAAGCCATGATAAACTAGAACAGCATTTCTCTATCTAGCAGAGAGACCAGCCTGTAATGCTCCATGCTCCTGTAATGCAGTGCTGGTGTCTCTGTAGGGTGTGTGGACCTAGGTTAATTTATGTCTGTAACCTGTGTGTGACTGTGATGGAGAGTCTGTGCCCTCAACAAGCAAGGTAGCAACAGAGTTAAACCGGCACTGCTCCCTGATGATTCCACAGGCAAGAACCTCACTGGCCTGGTTATTTGTTGTTTGTTCTTACGGGAAGGGAGAAATCAGTTCAAATAGGGATAATCCTGATTTCCCACCCTGCCCTCCCGCTTCCCATTAGTGTGCATCCTCCTTTTTATTTGAGTGAAAGAAACGATATCTTTCACTATTTACAAAACATGCTGTTATGTCATTAAAAGTAGAGATACATAGACAGGAACACTTTCAAACATGTTTATCATAAATCTGCCCTCTCTTCTCTCACACGTCCCACTGGCCCCTTTGCTTGCTAGGATTGATAAGGATATTGCCTACCAGTGGGACTGGGAATTTTTCATTAGGGCTTCTTAGATCAGCAGAGTTGTTAGAAGTGAAAAGAGATTACACTCATAGAGTGTCAGCTGATGGACAGAGTTTTCTTGTCATGCTGAAGAAGCTGATTTGAAGCTTTATTATTGAAGTTTTTTTACTTCTTTTAGAGGGAGCCTAGATGTGATCTTGGACCAGGCAAAAAGTGGGGTGAGATGAATTTTTATGTGCCTTACTTGTGTGCCAGCACTCTTCATGAGAGGAACTGTTTCACTCCAGAAGGGTGTGATGTGGAAATAAGGTTTCCTGAGCCGTATTTTTAACTCTTTTTTTGTCTTTCTGTGTGCCACTTTTAGACCAAATGGGATAAACACATCCTACTGTGTCTCTCCTTGCTTCATTAGAAGACACAGTAACTCACAGCAGCCTAGAATGCTGTTATGGATGGCTATGTGCTTTTCAGGAAAGTCAGGCCAGGAAGGTGAGGTGATGGAGTTGCTCTATGTGAGAGAGGAACTGGAATGTATTGAGCTCTGCCTAGCAGTGGTTGAAGAGTGAGTTGAGAACTTATGGGTGAGGATTAAAGGGCAGAGCATTGATAATTTTTTGATGCAGGTGGTGGAGGAGCCAGCAAGGAGAGAACCTTTCACTAACAAACAAAGAAGGACTGGTGACTGCTAGAGATGTGGAGGTTGGGGGTAGCCTTGGCTTCAGTGATCATGAGATGGTGGAGTTCAAGATTCTGTAAGGAGTAAGGAGGGTGATACGTATGATCACAAACCTGGACTTCAGGAGAATGAACTTTAATCTCTTCAGAGATCCACTTGGAGGAATCCCATGGGTGAGAAGGAAGCAGGGAGTCCAAGAAGGGTGGTTAATATGCAAGGGTCACTTACTCCAGGCTCAAGATCAGTGCATTCCTATGAATAAGAAGTCAGGCAAGGGGGCAGGAGACCTGCATGGAAGAGCAAAGAGCTCCTGGCAAAACTCAAACAGAAGAAGGAAGTATACAGAACATGGGAAAAGGAACAGGCCACTTGGGAGGAATACAGGAATGTTGCCAGAGTATGAAGGAATGCAATGAGGTAGGCCAGGACTCATTTGAAACTAAATCTGGCAAGGGATGTCAAGTCAACAAGAAAGGCTTCTTCAAATACACCAGCAGCAAAAGGAAGACTAGGGAAAATGTGGGCCTGCTGCTGAATGGGGTGAGTGCCTGGTGACAAAGGACACACAGAGAAGGCAGCATTACTGAATATCTTCTTTTCTTCAGTCTTTACGACAAGGTCTGCTCTCAAGAAACCCAGATCCTGGAGACAAGAGGGAAAGTCTGGAGAAAGACAGACTGTCCCTTGGTCAAGGAGGCTTGGGTTAGAGATCATTTAGGTAAACTTGACACCCACAAATCAATGGGATGCTCCTGCCAGTTCTGAGGGAGGAGGGAGACGTTATTGTTAGACAACTCACAGTCATCTTTGAAAGGTAATGGAGAATAGGAGAGGTGCCTGAGGGCTGTAAGAAAGCCAGTGTTACTGCAGTCTGTAAAACGGACAAGAGGACCCAGGAAACTATAGGTTAGTAAGCCTCACTTCCATCCCTGAAAAGGTGATGGAGCAACTCATCCTGGATGTCATCTCTAAGCATGTGGAGGAAAGGAAGGTGATCAGGAGTAGTCAGTATGGGTTCACCAAGGGGAAATCATGCTTAGCCAATCATCTGATAGACTTCAGTGATGGAATGACTGGCTTGGTAGATGAGGAGATGTTGTCTACCTTGACTTCAGCAAAGCCTTCTCTCCCTTTCTCTCCCATAGCATCCTCATAGGGAAGCTGTGGAGGTGTGGGTTAGATAAGTAGACAGGGAGGTGGACAGAGAACTGTCTGAATGGCAGAGCTCAGAGGGTTATGATCAGTGGTGCAGAGTCTAGCTGGAGGCCTGTACCTAGCAGTGCCCCTTGGGGTCAGTGCAGAGTACAGTGTTGTTCTACTTATTCATCAGTGATCTGGAGGAGGAGTGTCTGCCCACCAGCGGGCTGTGCTGCCATGCAGAGAGACAATGACAGGCTGGAGAGTTGGGCAGAGAGGAGAAGAGGAACCTCATGAAGTTCAACAAAGGCAAGTGCAGGGTCCTGCAACTAGGGAGGAGTAACCCCAGGCACCAGTACAGTCTAGGACTGATTTGCTGGTAAGTAGGTCTGCAGAGAAGGATCTGGGAGTCCTGGGGGCAATAAGTCAACCATGAGCCAGCAATGTGCCCTCATGGCCAAAAAGGTCAGTGGTATCCTGGGGTGCATTAGGAAGAGCATTGCCAGCAGGTTGAAGGAGGGGATCCTCTTCCTCTGCTCAGCCCTGGTGAGGCCACATCTGGAGTGCTGTGTCCAGTGCTGGACATGGAGCTACTGGAGAGAGTCCAGCATAGGGCTATGACAATGACTAGAGCCTGGAGTATCTTTCTTATGAAGAAAGGCTGAGAGCTGGGTCTGTTTAGCCTAAGGAAGAGAATACTGAGAGGGGGTATTATCAATGTATAAAAATACCTTAAGAGAGAGTGTCAAGAGGATGGACTCTTCTCAGTGATGGTCAGCAACAGGAGAAAAGGCAATGGGCACAAAGTGAAACACAGGAAGTTCCACCTGAATTTGAGGAAAAATTTCTTTTACTATAAAGGTGATGGAACACTGGAAGAGGCTGCGCAAAGACGTTGCAGAGCCTCCTTCTCTGGAGATATTCCCAACCTGCCTGGATGTGATCCTATGCAACATGCCCCCTTGAGCAGTGGCGTTGGACTAGATGATCTCCAGAGGTCCCTGCAAACCTTAATCATTCTGTAACTCTGCAATTAATTAATTAGGTGTAATATAACATTAACCTTAGATCACAGATGAAAGAAGAAACTGAAAAGCTATAGATCCAGTAGGAAAATGAAAAGTGTGTTCCTTTTTTGTAATAACATAATTTTCATGGAGTATAATAAAAAAGATATTAATTTATTTGCTACGTTAAAATATGCCCCCCTCAATTCTACAATATTTCTCACATAATTGTGCTTTTGTTTGAGTATGTCTTTCAGTCTTTCATATTGGTTCATGTAGAGGACAAAGGAAATTCAGCATCACTTGTCATGAATGAGTGACATCTCCAGTGAACAAGAAAGGGGCTGCATTGCAAACCTATTGATCTTTTTTTTTCTATATATCTTGTGTGATGTTTCTGTGATGTTTCCTCACAAGGAAATATTTGAAGGAGTTTTAAAATTCTTTTTGATGTATAGAGCCCTAACAAGCTATCAAGGTAGGAAATACTTTTAGGCTGAATCTGTCAGTTTTCTTCGCTAATGTTCAACCCACATGTAGAATAAAATAAATAACTCTTTCCTGTGCAACATGAATTGAACACTACCAACAAACACATGATATTTCTTTTTTTGTTTCTTTGTTTCAATGCAAAATTGTCAAAAAACACAACAGTGTTCACGCCGTATGCTCTTAACAATACACAAAAATACACAAAAAATACAGTGAAAATTATTTTTAAAAAATCTTCCTCGTTGGGAGCAAATTTGTCATCAACTTTAGCTAATATGATACCTTATTCTACAAGATAAACTTCTGAGCACGGGCTGTTAATGACAAAATAGCAAAACATGAATATTAATGTTGTGTTGTTGGAAGTCAATTTAGTAATGGAGAGTCTGAGGGCAAATTGTGAAGGTGCCTTAGAAAGGCAGTCATGTGTATTTTTTGAGCAAAATGCAAACTACTGATAAAAAAAGCACGAATAAATGTCTCTTAATGGCTGTGATGCAAAACTACCCAGGAATGAAAACAATTGAACTTATTCTAGCAATAGGCAAACTGCTTATGAACAAGGCATGGAAGAGGAGATTTATCTGACTATATTTTCTCTACACTGTAACTAAGAATAGTTTCATTTCAAAAGAACTTTTATATCAGTGTTAATGGAGATCTATATTTCTTTTTGCAGGAGTGGTGGGGAAATATTTTTCTGTCATTTCTGTTACACGCAGCCCATTGGTACTTACAATGAGCCTGTTGATGTGAACTTGCTGAGGTAACAGTCCCAACGCCGCAGCCACTCCTTGGCGAAACATCCGAAGCAATGTGATATTCAGCTTGTTTACATCCATTTGCAGTGTCTGAAAAACAAAACCAGTTCAAAGGAGCTCCTTGCTGAACACATTCAGTTCTCAGGATGACTGGCATCTGTGACTCTCATTATTTTTTTCCCAGAATGACAATCTGTGCAACCTACTTGCAATAAAGAACAAGTCAAAAGAAAAAAATTAAGCAAGCTAAGTACTGATCCTTAACAGTATGACCTTTCCTCAGACACATACAAAATAAATTCCAGAAGTTTTGGATAAATTCCTTATTGAAATTATGGTGTTCAAGATAACACAATATTACCTAAAAAAAAAGGTCAAGCATTAAACAGCAATTCACTTTTAAAGAATAAGGTGCTGAATTTGCACCATGATTTCCTTTCAAGCTTTTTCTTAGTGTTACTGCCTGTATGTTAAAAATGCTCAAACGTAGTGAAACTATATATTTTTTATTTTAATGGGTGTATTGAGATAAATATTGAGATAAAAAAGAAATATTCTGAATACATTCTATGTTCTTGAAATTCCTAAAATTTCCTTATTTCAGTCAGAGAAGGCTGTTAATTCTCACCATAAGCCACCACATTACTGAAGTATTTTCTTTTTCCATAACAGATTCATAGTGAAATTTAAATTCTTATACTTCAAATTCTTTCTGTGAAGTTGATTAAATTTCATCCTCGAAAGAATATAAAAGTTCAAATTTGTTTCCAAGAAAATCCAGAATATCTCTGTGCATGGAGCCTGGTGGACACTACTTCCTAGCACCTTAGGTGCCTTATTTTCTTTGCTTCTGTATCCCCTTTGTGGACAATATATAGTGGAAAATGGAGGGAACAGGAGTATATGGAATGGTTCTAGTCCTCCTGGCAGGGGACTGACTTAGGAACTTATTAAGTTCTGCCTGAACTGAAAAGGGTTTTCTACTTCAGAATTTAAACTTTCTATTTAAAGCTATAGTGAAAGTCAGCTTGCTACTCTGTAGAACTGAGCAAGGGCTTTTCCTTCCTGAGCAGAGCTATATAAAGAGAATTAAATATCAGTGGGTCAGACATCACACTGTGAATATAGTTATGGTCTAGAAAGAAATATATTTTTTTTCTCAAAGCAAAACAGCATTAAACATTTTGACTCATTTGTTCCTTATTGATAAGTAGCAAATATTATGATGCAAAACCATATAAGATTTGCTTTCATCTTTCATTGTCATTTTGATATTTTTGCCAATACTGAATTTTTTTTTTCTTTTTTCTTTATCCCCCCCTTATTTTACACTAATGGGGATTGTCAGGTTGTGATGCATCAACTAACATCTGCTCTTAGCCTACAGTTGAGCTTTAATTAATCTGAAAGTATTATAGGATTCTTCAATTTAAATCTTTCTTTCTACCATTAAATTTCCAAAATGTAGAATCTTCCCTTGCTTGCTTTTCATCAACCCCTTTGAATTAGACAGACATCTTGAATGATCACAAAACTGCTTCAGCTTCATCACCAAAACAGAAATGGCTCGCGAGTGAAGACGGACATCTCTGCCAGATCCGAACTGGAGCCTTATTCCTCCCATACACAGACTGGCTTGTGCTTACTCCTTCAGTGTACCTGAGTGCTCCAACAGATGAACGTCGTTTTGGAGCTGTGGAGCTGCCACTACACTGAAAGCTGACAGCGTGACCTGAAGATCATGTTGCTGAAACAGGAAGGCTACCGTGAGGGTCCCTAGTTATCTATTAGGCTGACATAAAGAGCGAGAAAATATTTGTCCAGGTAAATGGGTTTCAGTTATGGGGATGTTGATAACAACTGTAACTTAATAAACATTGCATAGGCATAAAGTCAAAATACACAGGGATCAGATCATATTAATAGGTTGTTAAATAGTTTGTTAAGAGCTCATTGATAAATACACAGCAGGGAAAAACTTAGACAGATGGTTACATTTTGTTTCACCTGAGAGTCTAAGAATATCCACCTTCAGATGAAACGGAAGATCTTTGCAGGCTATAAGGATGTAATGCCCACAGAATAAATTCTTATAGATTTACTCTCCAGCACAGGAGACTAGAATTGTGGTTCATCATATTGAGGGGCATTAAAATACACTGAAACTCCATTATCTTCAAGAGACTTACATTCCCTTCTTGTGGGTCTGAATTTGGTCCTGTAACAAGCAGTTATAAAAGGCTAAATAGATCATAGTATATATGTAACAGTTCATACATAATGTAATGTAATGAATATGTATTATTCATATGTAATATGTAACAGCTGCATCTATATTGTGCTTAATGGTTCTGTGGGAAGCTAGTGCCGCAGTAAGGAGCACAAGACTTTAGGCTTCACCTCAGGGTCCCTCCAAGAGTGACTTTTTGTGACTACTCATCCAAAAAAAGCAAGCAATATCTGGGGAGAAGCAGGTAACTTTGTTTTTTTTTTTTTTATAAGAACCTTGCATAGCCATCCAGTGAAGGAATTTGCTTCTCAATTGCTAATGTAAGTGCAAAGCTTTTTTCCTTGACAATTATAGCAAAAATGAAGTAAGTATAAACTAGATCACTTTTTTTCTACATCAGATAGCACAAGAGAGTATATCTGCTCTTGTCAGACAGAAAGCTAGTGAGCCATGATCTGTCACTTTAGGAATGAGATTTCTAATTTGATCAGTGGAGGATAATTTGATTGATAGGACTCCTTGCAAGCCTGTCTTAGAGTGAATAGCACCTCACAAACCTGTTCTGTACCCTTTATTACCCTTCTGTTTGCACTGGAATTATAAAAACATAGAGCAGGAGTGGAACAGACTGCAGTCACATCAAGTTCTGCATCCTTTGGCCAACTTTAGATGCTTATGGAAAACAACAGGACCTGAGTAAGAATATATTCCCTTTCCAAGTTCTTTCCCACAATGGGTCTCCCCAGTCACACGAGCATTCTTATACCATTACTCGTGCTGACACTGTCAGCATCTGCAATGAAGGCAGCATTCTGGGCATTAGATTCTCAATTCTGACTACTGCTCTCCTGAAGGTGACTAGAGTTTTGTCAGAGCTTCGGGTATGGTACAAAGCAGTCTTCCTGCAACTTCCTCGCAACTGTAATTTATGTTAGGAAATTTAGTCAGAAAAAGAAGGCGAAAAAAAGAAAAAAATGAGGGAAGATTAAAAGGGAAAAAGCCTTAAATATTCCTATCAGTAGAATATTATTAAAATATTGGCATTTTAATATTATTGTGCTATTCTGATGGTATATCTGGATACTGTGTTGTATTGTGTAGTCCACAAACACTAGAGATTAGAACTGAAAGATGATAACAGATGAATTACAAAGGCAGCATGCACATTAGACAGACAATGCAAACTGTCATTAAGGAAATCGCTCCGGAAAAACAAACCTGTCTGGCTATTTGAAATCACAGAAAGAATCATTACAGTGTGTAATAACTCCACTTGCAATAAAATGTGAAAATAAACTGTAAAGTAAAACCACAGAATTAAATTTTTAAAAGCGTTAGCATAGATAAATAAGTTATTTCTTACTGTGTTACTCTTGTTGCTCCTTTTGCTTTGGAAAAGAGAGGGCTGAAGCATCCTGTGGTAGAAAGCACTAATTATTTACCCTTTGCTGATCTGCAGTGTTTATCATATATTGTAACCTACTCCTCAAGGAGTTTACAATTTAGAATCTGCTACATCTCTTGGCAATAGTGACTTGTTGACCCTAGAGGCAAACAAACTGCAGGACTCATTTCCCTGAGCAATTACTGATACGGATATCGCAACTGTAGTGACTGTTTCTAGGGTTATCTGACTCAAGCAAAACAGGTAGTTGGAGGGGAAGCTTTTTGCCTGTAGTGGAATACTTGAGAAGACAGAGTACCGGAACAGAAAACCCAGCACAGAAAACCATCTAAGAGCATTTGTGACTGAGATCAGTCATGGGACTAAGACTTTTGTGTGAATAAATAAATAAATATAAAGGCATAGAAAGGACTGTCTTATAAACCAGTTAAAGGACCATCTGATAACCCAGTTTCTGGAATAACATTTTTCTTTACTATTACAATTTGCCATGTCAAGTTTGTTTCTCAAGCAGAATTCAGAGATGCCTCTCATATTATTTATCTTCTCACTAGCTATGTCCTTTCTGCAATGATACTCAAGGACGCCACCCTTTTTCAATACACTGGTTCCTCCCCTCTAAACTTCATCCAACTTCACAACCATAGGTGCTTTCTTCAGTTCAAACCTCCAACCATTCCAAGCTGAATATTTAGGAAGAAAAAGAGTCAGGATGAAGAAGTTTAAAATAAAAACTGTTAATACATTATAGAAATAAAATACAGTTTTGACTTTTACAGCTCTAAACACGTTAGATTTGCCTTCCTGTTGCTGTTCACTGATCTGTGCTTGCAACTGCACCGGCTGCCAGGTTTACCCCTTCGTCTGACCCAGTACAGTCACAGAACATTTTGGCTTTTCTAATATTTTGCGTATCATGTGTCACTGCAAGCGTTAGTATCTCATGAAGGTCGTGAATTGCATGGGGGCCGCTGTGTTCTCAGCTTCTCATGGAGGCCAACACTGTGCAATCTGAAGAAAGCACATTGCCAAGCCAAGCCCCTGAGGGTGCGTGTCCCAAAAACAAGCCAGTGTTCAAGGCAGCCTTCCCTCCTCCCTGTGTCTCCCTCTACCTCTACAGCAGTATTTTTTAAACAGGACCCAATTCCTGTTTACATCTGTAAATGTCAATTAGGGACTTTTCTGGAGACTACCACATCACAAAGAGGACAAAAGAGGACAAAGAGGCTTCAATGCAAAGAAGCTGCTGCAGTGAGGACAGGGTACTCCCGTACTCCGCTGGCACCCACAGCCCAGACTGGCAAGTTGTTCTGAGTGGTGAGTGGGTGGTTAATATGACTAAACTGGTTTGTTTCAGCTGCATGAGCAGTTTACAGTTCTTCTCACAGGAAGAAGAACAAATTTCTCAAATCAGAGTGTTTGATTTGGAGCGGATTTGACCACTTCTGTAGGAAG